CCTAAGTGTAGTTACAGGGTGAGAGCTACGCTCGTGGTGTCCCGTCTTCCCAGCACTCTTTGTCATATAATGCTTTGAAACTACTGACGGTCTTGGCCTCCACCACCATCTCACCTAACTTGTTCCAACAGTCTACCACTCTGTTTGCAAAAGTGAATTTTCTTATATTTCTTCGGCATCTGTGTTTAGCTAGTTTAAATCTATGACCTCTTGTTTTTAAAGTTCCAGGTCTCAGGAAATCTTCCCTATCTATTTTATCAATTCCTGTTACTATTTTGTATGTAGTGATCATATCACCTCTTTTTCTTCTGTCTTTTAGTTTTGGCATATTTAATGCCTCTAACCTCTCCTCGCAGCTCTTGCCCTTCAGTTCTGGGAGCCACTTGTGTTAGGTCCTTATTGCACCTAGCTTCACCAATGTCATGGCCCTTATGTTCTTCAAACAATAAGGTCTGAATTTCACCGACAGAGCGCGATCTTTCAACACCGTGTCAGACAGGTGTTTGGGAGCCAGAGGCGCGGGCACCATCCATGGTTGCTTACTCATTACTAACCCAGCCAGCAGCCCTAGGGCATTCTGGGAATTTTTTCCTAGATGGCTGCCTCACACTGGAGGTTACCTGGTTGATACCTGGTTGATGGGGTTCTGGAAGTTCTTCTACTCCCCATACCCGGCCCGAGGCCAGGCTTGACTTGTGAGAGTTTGGTCCACCAGGCTGTTGCTTGGAGCGGCCCGCAGGCCCACATACCCACCACAGCCCGGTTGGTCCGGCACTCCTTGGAGGAATAAATCTAGTTTCCTCTTGAAAATGTCCACGGTTGTTCCGGCAATATTTCTTATGCTTGCTGGGAGGACGTTGAACAACCGCGGACCTCTGATGTTTATACAGTGTTCTCTGATTGTGCCTATGGCACCTCTGCTCTTCACTAGTTCTATTCTACATTTTCTTCCATATCGTTTACTCCAGTACGTTGTTATTTTACTGTGTAGATTTGGTACTTGGCCCTCCAGTATCTTCCAGGTGTATATTATTTGATATCTCTCTCGTCTTCTTTCTAGTGAGTACATTTGGAGGGCTTTGAGACGATCCCAATAATTTAGGTGTTTTATTGCGTCTATGCGTGCCGTATAGGTTCTAAGAGTCCATTTCGTACACAACCTATTGTGCACACAATTTGAATGGGTACGAAAAAATCATAGTTTTCTCGGTTAGTGCAGTTTCCCACCGACCAAGTTTTCTCGGTTGGCGCAATTTCCCACCGACCGAGTTTTCTCGGTTGGCGCAGTCCAGTAGTTAATGGTCGTGCAGGGACACTTAAGATAGACACTTAGACACATAACACTAATGAGCAGGGGGGTAGTTGGATGAATTGTTGCTTGTTTGTGTTATTTCTGAGGGAGTTCTTTTGCTATTTTGAGGACGTAGCTCACAAACCACAAGCCAGAACCTGGTTCCATCAGAGAGGCACAGGGCGCAATGGCCTGTGAAAACTCTACTCTCTGAGCATATATTCATGTCTGCCATTGACCGGGCTTAGGAACCCAGGAAGGTAGGCGCCCCAAAACAAACCCCAACTGGTAGAAAATTGCAACTGGAGACCGAAACAGAGGCTAGAAACTTCCCCCAAGAAATTTAAGGAAATGAGTAAGTCGTCATCAACCCGACGTGCCACTTATTCGCGTTGGGCCCATGCAGCCGGCCATCTGCCCACCAGTTTGTTGACTGAAGCTGACTGGGGCAAAAGTGTACTCTAGTTTCGATTGCCTGTCAGGATTTTTACCCTAGTGGTGATACCTGCCATGTGTTGGAGCATTGGTTGGGAATTACAAGTACAATGGGGCCTCGACTTACGATGCTAATCCGTTCCCAGAGACGGATCATAAGTCGAAATATCATAAGTCGAAGCGATTTTTCCCATAAGAAATAAAGGGATTTGAATTAATCCGTTCCCCACTTTCCAAAATATTAACATACAAATACATTTTATACTGAATACAATGTTTTTTTCTAACTACAATACAGTACCAAAGTTTCTCTTACCTTTATGGAGGGCTCTTGATGGCGTATGGAAGATGGTGATGAGGGGGGAGGAGGAGAGGTGTTACTGTTTGGAAGGGGAGTCCCCTTCCATTATCACATCAGGCAGTGATGTTTTCTCTGGGGTACTCTCTCTCCTACGTTTTGCCTGAATACCACTAGGACCTGGTTGTGGTTCAGTGCTTGTTTGTCTCACTACAAATTTGTCAAGAGACATTTGTTTTTCCCTTCGTTTTAACATTTGTCTGTAATGATGCATCACAGTGTCATCGAATAGGTTAAGGCAATGGGCTACTGCAGCTTGATTTGGGTGAGTCGTTTCAGCAAAGGTTTGCAATTCTTCCCATGCTGCACACATTTTCCTAATTCTTAAGGAAGAGACATTCTGTACTCTTGTTTCTGCTCTATGGTCATCCTTACATGGGTTTTCATATGTTGAGCCTTACCACTGACTTTCCTGTGACTCATGGCATGATATATAATAATTACTTTAATGTTCAAAATGCAAAAAATCACCACAAAAGCAAAATTTCTTATATGGCGCAATCGTCACTTAGTGGGCAGTTGTAGTAAACTGAGGCAGGTCGACCGCGTGACCGGGAACCACGCGCTTGGTCGACCCGAACGTGTACCAACAAATATCGGAAGTCGACGACACCATCGGATGTCGAGTCGCATTTTTCGATGAAATTTACATCGTAACTCGAAATTATCGTAAGTAGGGGCAATCGTATGTCGAGGTGCCACTGTACTAGGTCTGCTTGCACTTCGGGCTCACTTCCCTAGGCGCCCTGTAAGTACTTCCCTTGAGTTTCATGGTTCTCTTCCCTGGAGCTTTCGGGTCTCACTCCCGTAGGGGTAGCGGTCGCTTGGCTTCTTCCTCACCAGTGGGGTCAGCTTGGGTTTTGGTACTTTTTGTTTGGCCCTGGGTAGGGAGTGTTTGTTGCTGGTTAGAGAGCACAGTGCTGCACAGCTCGCATAACAGCGGTGGCCATGCCTCTCTCTGGCCTCCTATTGTGGTAGAGCACTTTTGGGGTACTTTTCATCCATTTTAGAATTTTTCCTGCTTGGTGGAGGGTGCCTGGTGGCCTGCCACCAAACGGAACCGGCCTGCCTGCTCACCCGGCCGCCGGGTGAGGCGTGTGTACTGTACACACTCGCGACCTCCTCCATCTCACTCGTGTCAGACCTCGTGTTAGGTCTCTTTCTGGATTGTAGTCTGAATCATCATCCATAGCTCCATCATCATGCAGTGTCACGTATTTTGTCCTCTGAGAGTCGTTTTTCCTGAACTGTGGCTGACCGTGGACCATGCAGGAGCTCGTTGACCCGCATCACCACGCACCAGTTTTGAATAGTACGGTATACCTAAGAGATCCCTGAGGCGCGTTGCACACCACCTGTCGAGAGCCTCAAGGAGCGTTGCGCAGTGCAGTGTAATTACCTAAGTGTCGTTACAGGATGAGAGCTATGCTCGTGGTGTCCCGTCTTCCCAGCACTCTTTGTCATATAACACTTTGAAACTACTGACGGTCTTGGCCTCTACCACCTTCTCACCTAACTTGTTCCAACCGTCTACCACTCTGTTTGCGAAAGTGAATTTTCTTATATTTCTTTGGCATCTGTGTTTAGCTAGTTTATATCTATGACCTCTTGTTCTTAAAGTTCCAGGTCTCAGGAAATCTTCCCTATCTATTTTATCAATTCCTGTTACTATTTTGTATGTAGTGATCATATCACCTCTCTTTCTTCTGTCTTCCATTTTTGGCATATTTAATGCCTCTAACCTCTCTTCGTAGCTCTTGCCCTTCAGTTCTGGGAGCCACTTAGTAGCATGTCTTTGCACCTTTTCCAGTTTGTTGATGTGCTTCTTAAGATATGGGCACCACACAACCGCTGCATATTCTAGCTTTGGCCTAACAAAATCCGTGAACAATTTCTTTAGTATATCGCCATCCATGTATTTAAAAGCAATTCTGAAGTTAGAAAGTGTGTAGTGGTTAAGTCTAGCCAGCCTGCAGTCTATGATATTCGAAAGTATGCATCTCTTGCTGCTGTGTTTGGGAATATATCTTGGACTGACATTTGGGCATGGGGATTTTAGAGATCGAACAAGGTCCTGGCCCTGCATTATCTCGTGACTGTTCCTTGCCCTCAGCAGTCTTGTGTGGCCTTGGGTCATCAGTTGCAGCCAATTGTTCTGCCTTCGTCATGAGACGTGTAGTGCTGCCACCTCCCGAGTAAGTCCCTCTTTTACTTATCTTTTGGTAGCTCTTTGGGTATGTAGCTCCAGGGAGCCGACGGGGCTTCCCACAGATAACCAGCGTTGAATGTAATGAAGTACCATTTTCTGGGTGAGCCCCAGAGGCTCCCTGGCACCCTCCCTCCCTCTGGTCAACGGTTTCTTCTTCTGTTTGCTCATTCTCGAAACTGGTGGGCAGATGGCCAGCTCGGTGGAGCAAGGGGGGGCCCTCACTCCCAGTGTTGGGTTTGATGATGATTTGCTTGTTTCCTTACTTTTCATGCAGTGAGTTTCTAACCTTTGTTTTGGTCTCCGATTGCAATTTCTACCGGTTTAGGTCTGTTTTGGGGTGCCTACCTTTCTGGGTTCTTAACCCCAGTCAATGGCATTTTCGCCGGTCGATGCCATTTTCGTTAAGTGGCAGACATGAATATACTCTCTAAAGAGTGAAGTTTTCATGGGCAATTACTCCCTTCGCCTCCTTGAGGAAACCAGGTTCTGACTTGTGGTTCCCGGTAGGCGTGACAACTCCATATGACTGAAGTCCCAGACTAATATAGCTAATATCAGCCCTATAGATCCAGGGAGCCTCTGGGCTCACCCAGAAAATGGCATTTCATTACAGTCAACACTGGTTTTTTCTATAGGGAACAATCAAATGATTCTACTCAGAAAAGTGTTTTTCATATTGACTCAATGCCTAATATTTATTTCCACAGAGTACAGATTGCGGAGATTATTAAGCAAGACTGCGGGTTTCCTGGAGTGTTTGGTGCCATTGATGCATCCCTGATTCATTTGATATCACCTGTTGTAGACGACAACTGTGCTTTTGTTCTGCAGTTCATTGTTGACCATAGACTTGTATTCCGGGATATTCACTTAGATTCTCCAAAGACAGGAACACGGATACAGATTTTCCAGGTAGATCTTTTATTTCAGTTAATGATGTGTCATTTTCCTTTGATGTGATGCTATGTAGTCTTCCTGGCTTGATATCTTCATTTTGATAATTGCTTTCCTTTCATGTTTAAAGTCTACTAAATTGATTTTTTTTTTTTAATTTTGTCTTTTAAAAACTGATACTGTATATTCGAACTTGGAATTTTTTAAGTTTCATGAGATTGTTCTAAAACTTTTCTGGGGAGAGCCCCTTTGGCTCCCCGGAGCTTATACATCCGGCTGATACGGATGTATAAGCTTTGGGCATCAGTCAATGTACATGGAGTTCTAGGACTACCGGGGACCCATGAGCCAGAACCTGGCCTACTCAGAGAGGCGCGAGGAGCAATGGCCTATAGAGACACCTTATACAGTGGTACTTCAGCTTACAAATTTAATCCGTTCCCAGAGACAGTTCGTAAGCCAAAAATTTGTAAACTGAAACAAATTTCCCCATAAAATATAATGGAAATTGAATTAATCCATTCCACACTCCTAAAAAATTTAACTTCAAAGTAAATTTTATACCTAATTCACCCAAATCTTCAGTACTAAAGTTATTACTTAACTTTACTGATGACTAGTTGGCGTATGGAAGACGGTGAGGAGGGGAGGAGGAGGAGAGGTGTTAGTGTTTGGAAGGGAAGTCCCCTTCCATTATAACATCAGGCAGTGATGACTTTTCTGGGATGTTGACCAGACCACACACTAGAAGGTGAAGGAATGATAACATTTCGGCCCGTCCTGGACCATTCTCAGGTCGATGAGAATTCTGGAATACTGGGAGTATCCCAGCTTATCTGGGATACTCTCTCTCCTACATTTTGCCTGCATATCACTAGGACCTGCTTGTGGCTCACTGCTTGATTTTTTCACTAAGAATCAATCCATAGAGGATTGTTTTTCCTTTATTGTAACACTTGTCTGTAGTGAGGCATCATAGTAGCATTAAAAAGGATAATGCAACGGCCTACTACAGCTTTCTTTGGGTGAGTCGTTTCAACCAGTTTGCATTTCTTCTCACAATCTACACCACTTCCTAATTGTTGAAGAAGGGACATTGTACACTGCCTCCGCTTTCCCTAAAGACATTTCCTCAGCTGCCTCTTGTTGTTGCTCCTTTTGGTCTTTCTCATGTGTTTTCTTGACTTGAACCTTATCACTGGCTTTCTTGGGACCCATGGTGAGATACATAATAACAAATTTTATGTTCAAATAGCCATTAATCTGAAAAAAAAACTGTAATTCTTTACAAAGAACTCAGACACAATTGTCACTAGGTGGGAGGCACTGGTAAACTGAGGCATGATCGCCGTGCCACCACGTTCTAGGTCAACCATGTGCGTATCAACAAACTCGTTTCAAAAGGAAAAGTTCATAACCCAATTCGAATTTTCCAAAGAAATTGGGTTCATAACCCAAAAAGTTCGTAAATAGGGGCATTCGTAAGCTGAGATGTCACTGTATATGATTTGGACTGTGTGCCATCTACCGGGTCTGGCACCCAGAAAAATAGGCGCCCTAAAACACCCCCCCCCCCATTCTGGTGAAGAATTGCTACCAAACGACAAACGAGAGGATATAACTCTCCATGAAGACAAACGATCAAACATGCATGACGTTTCTCGTTACCAATGCGCCGCCATCTGCACAACCCTCCTCCCTCCCCCAGGAGGCAGAAGGCGGAACCCCAGTCCCCCCAAGCCTGTCAGTTCTTGGCTGAGGTCGGTAGGCTTCAATCGTGTACCTCCAGCTCCGGCTTTTCTTCTCTGTTTTTTTATTGCAAGTTTTTTTATTGCTAGGTTGTTTGCTTCCTCGGAAGCCCTGTGGCTGTCCCATTTTGCTTAAAGGGTCCTGGACTTGGGGGGTGTGGGTCGCTTCGGCCTTGGGTTGGTCCACTTCCCCCTCATTCTTCCCCTGTTTTTTGGTCACCCTCCTGCTTCCATCTCAGGAGTGTCTAAAGGCTTCGGGGTCGGGGCAAGGTTTAGCTGGTTTTGAGACTTAGGCAGTCTCGGGGGATGCCCCTTCCAGGACAACCCGTTCTCGCAAATTCGTATAGTCAATATTGACTTATTAACAACGTGCATAGGTGATATACTAAACATAATAGATACCCTTAAAAAGCTTCATAGAAAACACCGACCTTACCTAACCTTGTTAGTATGTTAAGATAAGCATCTTATTGCTTCGTAATTACAATTATTACTTAACCTATACCTATAATAGGTTAAGTAACAATTGTAATTACAAAGCTATAAGATGCTTATCTTAAGATACTAACAAGGTTCGGTAAGGTCGGTGTTTTCTATGAAGCTTTTTAAGGGTATCTATTATGTTTAGTATGTCACCTATGCACTTATTTAATAAGTCAATATTGACTTTACGAATTATCGAGAACGGGTTGACTGGTCAGACCCATACGCAACGGCTGGAGGGACCGACTCGAATGCCTCATCGCCATCCTGGACAACCCGTTCTCGATAATTCGTAAAGTCAATATTGACTTATTAAATAAGTGCATAGGTGACATACTAAACATAATAGATACCCTTAAAAAGCTTCATAGAAAACACCGACCTTACATAACCTTGTTAGCATCTTAAGATAAGCATCTTATAGCTTTGTAATTACAATTGTTACTTAACCTATTATAGGTATAGGTTAAGTAATAATTGTAATTACAAAGCAATAAGATGCTTATCTTAACATACTAACAAGGTTAGGTAAGGTCGGTGTTTTCTATGAAGCTTTTTAAGGGTATCTATTATGTTTAGTATATCACCTATGCACGTTGTTAATAAGTCAATATTGACTATACGAATTTGCGAGAACGGGTTGGACCAGTGGGCCCCCTTCCTTAGTGTTTTTACGGCTGCCCTGGTTTTTTCTTTTGAGGCCGGGGCTTTGGAGGACGATTCGGCCCCAGGTCCTGGTGTGGAGGTTCCCAGGGTTGGGGAGGGGCTGACTAGGGGGCCTAGGGCCCCATTGGATCCCTCCTGGGTTTTCCTTCCATCCGAGTGGGCTTACTGTTACGTGGTGTGGGGTTTTCTTCCCCCCCTCCCTCTACGTACGAGTAGGTTTTTGGTGTTGGCCTCTTCTCCCCGGGTTCGGTTCCGTGTCCCTTCGGGTTCGTCGGTTCTGCCCTTCCTGTGGCATATTTTACCCACTTTATCCGTTTTCTTTAATAAGAAATGTATTCTTTCTACATCATATAAAAAATCATATCAGTCACTATATCCTAATTCACTGGATCCTACATGGCCATTGGTTCTCTTATGCCAATTGGTGCCCCATGTGAGCCTGCTTGGCTTCGTGCATGGGTCTGGAAGGTTTGAGTTAATTAAAAACTATTGCAACATCTGTCGCTTCCGGTGACGATTGCCTCCGATATTTTATAAGAATCATTGGTGCTCTTCGGTACTACTTATCTTTTTTATGATCACATCTTATCTCAATAAATGAACATTGTGGGCTACCCTCCCTAAATTCAGGGAGGGACTAGTTCGTACTTCAGGCGTCCTGAGTATGGTTTGGGGGTGTTCGTTTTGTTTTCAACAGTGTCAACGCGTGTTAGTGTTAGGCGTCCTTAATCACAGGACATACACCGTACTACCTAATTTTATATCTCCTGTTATGGCTCCCTGGATACTGGGAGAGTTCTAGACTGTGTTTGTAGGGTACATTCCTTGTACTTTTACCGAATTTAGGGTGTGGCGTGGCACGTAGTGACGCCACGTCCTCCTCTACACCACTTGTACTCTTATCCTCCTGTAAACGTACCTAAGGTCATAATTAACTAGCCATGCTGCCGGCATCTTAACAGGCAACACTATACAGGGGTACCTCGGTTTAAGAGTTTAATCCGATCCTGGAGACGGCTCGTATTCCGAAGCTAATTTCCTCATAAGAAATAATGGGAAATGAATTAATCCGTTCCTGACTACCCCAAAAACCCCACATCAAACTAAATTTTTATACCTAATTCATCTAAATAAACCTACAAAACTATGTTCAAGTTATTACTTACCTTGCTGTTGAATGCTGTAGGCGTATGGAAGATGGTGAGGAGGGGGGAGGAGGAGAGAAGTTACTGTTTGGAAGGGGAGTCCCCTTCCATTATCACATCAGGCAGTGAGGACTTCACTGGTATGCACACTCTGGCACATTTTGCCTGCATACCACAAGGACTTGTTTGTCTTACTAAGAATCTGTCTAAAGACACTTGTTTTTCCCTACATTTTAACACTTGTCTGTATTAAGACATCACATTATCATTTAAAAGGTCAATGCAACGGCCTGCTACAGCTTTATCTGGGTGAGTTTTTTCAACAGAACTTTGCAGTTCTTCCCATACTTCACACATTTTCTTAATCAAGAAGGGACATCCTCTACTGCCTCTACTCACAGCTATTTTCTTAGGTTGAACCTTATCAATGGCTTTCTTGAGACCCATGGCGAGATATATAATAACAACTTTTATGCTCAAATGGCCAAAAAACCGACATAAAACTGTAAATCCTTGTGAAGAATTCAGGAGGGATAGTCACTGGGCGGGAGACAATGGTAAACTGAGGGGCGGAGGGGCGACGATCGCCGCACCACCACGCGCTAGGTCGGCCTGAACGCGTATCAACAAACTCGCGTTCCAAGGTAACCCTCGCCTTCTGAGACACATTTTCCGAGGAAATCCGGTTCGTACTCCGAAAAACTCGCATACAGGGAACCTCGTGTTCCGAGGTACCACTGTATTGGGTTATCTTGGGATAATTTCGGGGCTTAGTGTCCCCGCGGCCTGGTCTTTGACCAGGCCTCCTTTTTGTTATACACCCTCAGGAAGTAGCCCGTAGCAGCTGTCTAACTCCCAGTTACCTATTTACTGCTTGGTGAACAGGGACATCAGGGTGAAAGAAAGATTTTGCCCTTTTGTCTCCGCCTCCGCCGGGAATTGAACCCGGAACCTCAGGACTACAAATCCGAAGCGC